CAGGGCAAACGGGGGCGGGTAATGGCGGTTCCGAACAACAAGAGCCTCCGTCATCGCCACAGACACAGCGGACGAGTAAGAAGCGTCCTCGCTGCCATGATTTCGACGACCACTTCGCCCTCACAAACACCATCACCCTCATCCACTCCAACTCGCAGCCCAACCTGTCTGTCCTGCGATACTTTGACTACGACGCCAGCGATCCCAACCCGCCGTACCCTTACCACCCGCTGTTCACCAACCTCCTCCCCATCTCCTGGCTGCAACTCGTCGATCCCGCCGAAGACGTCGTCTGCTCCGAGAAGCCGGCCGACGTGACGCCCGAAGAGCTCGCGTCCTGGAAACCCAACCGCCGCGGAAACTACCACCGCAAACGCCGGAGGTGGGCCCGGACCAACGAAGTCATCGAAAACACACGGGCTGGCGGCTTCTCCGGGCTAGCTGTAGCGAGCACAATGGACCCTGTCTCTATCCTACGCGAGGCTCTCCCGCTATTGGCAGGGGGCTCCCCCATCGCCATCTACTCGCCCACCATTGAGCCGCTGGAACAGCTGGTAGACTGCTTCAGTATCGGTCGTCGGGCAGCATGGGTATCATCGCTGCCTACAGAGGCAGAGGGCAAAACGCAAGCCGAGTTGGATCGCTGGGAGGGGACGAGGGAGTTTCCAATTAACCCTACCCTGGTGCTTGGTGCGGCGGTCCAAAGCAGTAGAGCCAGGAGATGGCAGGTTCTGCCGGGGAGGACACATCCGTTCATGACGGGGAGAGGAGGCGCGGAAGGCTTCTTGTTCACGGGCTGGAGGGCGATTCCGGCACAAGGGAGGGTTTCTGCAAGAGGCAAATTCCAGAAGAAGAAGGGAGAAGCAGCATGATGATTTTGTATAGTATATTTGTTGGGGTAATGGATTGGATTTCGGACCTTGGGACTACGTGTGTCCGTGGATGAATTGGGATAAGCATGTGCTTGTGTAGGGACTATACAAGGAGCGATACCCTGAATTTGTATCGATCGCAATAAATACTCTGACCCGGATACGTGTTGCGTCATCATGGTTGGTCAATCGGGTTCGAGGAGATTCGCAACCACTGCAGTTGTGGTGTCTTATTATTTGTGTTTTATAGAACAAGGGGCGGTGTTTTTGTTTAGTCGCAAAGGCTACTATGGAACCATCCGTTACAACGCCTTGCCCATGAACTTTCTCTTCGTAAAGCTCAGCCACCACTTGCTAGGCTTGGTTTCGTCATCTGCGTACACTCGTGCAAGTAATCGCGTTGCCAACTCCTGGCGTACTTGGGACATGTACTGCCTTAGTTGCTCGGCATCCAGTCTATCCCTAGGAGGCTCGTACATCTGCCACGGAGGAATGTTAGTCGCAATTAGGGTCCAAGCCAACACTCCCTGGGACGATTTGCGATCAAGATTGTAGCCCAGGGGAGTAGCAACACTTGTAAAACCAGGAGCGTACCTGATTCAAGGGGAAGCCCGGGTCGCCCGGGATAGCAAAGTTCAAATCCAGTGCCAAGTTCATGACATCCTTCTGCGCATCCCTCGCCGTCGCGCCAGGCTTGATCTTTTGCAGACAGTCGCTCAGAAACAAGATTCCGTACACGAGCAAGCGGTCTGCAGGACCCTGGATTTCAAAGTTGCGGAAAAATGTGTTGGCACGGAAGAGCGAGATGGTCTCGTCGAGGATATCGTAACTGTCGCTGTCCGGATCGGGCGACTCGTTGGCCGGCAGCGGTGGTGACGGGATAGGAAGGGTGTAGGCTGGTCCGCGGGTCTTTGTGCGTAGCGGGAGAATGGGAAAGTTACCTATGAGGCGGGGAGGGTTGGGGTCGTTGTTGAAAATGGAGTTGTAGGCCTGGCGAGATGGTCAGCTTGATGCCGAAGATGTGAGAGCTGCTGGAGAGGTGGTGACTGGTGATACGAGCTGAATGGAGGTCGGAAAATATGGCGGCCGGGAGAGAGGACGCATGAGGAGCTGGAGAGGGTTGTACATACCGGCATTTTGATCAGAATGGAGAGCGGAACAGCTCGACGATGATGCCTGGGATGGTGCGTTCGAAGTTGGTGATGCCTTGCAATTGCGCGGCGTTTGTCGTTGGCGGGGCTTTTTGGATTGGGAATGGGGCGGGGCGCAGCCACCTATGATGATGCTTCGTGGCGGTGCAAGATGTGGCTTGCCCGTCTGGCAGACAATGTGACGATGTTTTTATACCACGACATGGTAAATTCTGCTGATCATACTTGATATTTAAAAAGAAATAGATGTCTCATTGGATCTCCCGGTTATGACATGCACAGTGAGAAGGATCGTCTATGCCACTAGAATGAGGAGGAAATGACCATTCGATCTTGTTTCAAGCGGATCCGGGATTATTCTCTAACCTTAATAAAACATTATTTCTGTACATCTGTACATTATAAATATCATAAGAGCCTATAGTGTGTTAAGTGGTCTCGTGCGGTTCTATGGCTTGGGTACGGCCGCCACACTGTGTTACCTGACGTAGTGCTTGCACTATTATTTGGATAGGAAAAAAAAAAAATTAAAAAATTACTAAATTAGGTAAAACCCTAAAAAGTTTGATTGTTGAAATAAAAACAATAATAAAAGCCTATAAATCACATAATTAGCATGAAGCTTGGATGGGGTGTTCAACGGGGTTGGGAGTCTCGATTGGCCCTCGACGGTAGCGTTCGAAGAAATGAAACCATGGCCTTCGACGAGGACCCAAGGAGCCATTGCCCTAGGTGCTACGACGATCATTTAAGCGAGGATGAAAGTGGTAGAGATGTACTCGGTAAGGCATTTACTCTTCGAACACGTCGAACTGTAACATGTGGACCCGAAACAGCGTTTTATATCTGCGTGAAAAGCGTCTTGTCAAGTGCAGGCGATACTATATCGTGCAAAGATTTTCCATGAAACGATCATTATCACTGCGATGGCTCGTTCTATGCTTGTACTCATGGCCTTGCTCTCGGTGTTATGTGTAGTAGTTGACTGTTTCCTGGCTCTGTTGAAACCTACCAGAACGGTGACCAACATCAGCCTCACTCCTATGAAGACGAATTTTCCTCTTCCCTACTAGTAGCACGTTCTAGCGACAAGTTACAACAGAAAAGAGTCGGCAGGATCCTAGGTAGATTAATAGGGCGCCCTTTACCACAGTCACAAGGTCGAACCGCTTCCCTCAAAGGTGTGTTACAGATGTAAATTTACCCTCGAGCGAGTAAGCTGGGAAACAGATCTTCTTATAGCTCGTTAAGTTTCCTGCCAGATAGAAAATCTGCGGTATTGATGCATGGCACTGCGAACCGGAACGTTGCCCCCGAGAAGATTTTCCCGCTTTTTTCTTTGGCTATTTAACCACGTATTATATTCTAAGCCTTTCAGAGAGGAAACTTCTGAAGAATGTGTTTTGCTTCGGGGGGAGCCTTGACGGCAGGTGGTGTCCGAATGTCTGCCGAGGACCTAGACCACACAGTGATGTTGGTGAGCATATTCACGGCATAGGGCCTGGGACCAGAAAGACGGAGTTTACTCGGATTCCGTTCTGAATATGTTTGAAACCTCGAACCGCTCCCTCAGGCGGTTCTTCGTTGCTCGCGATCGGTACACATATTCTCGGTGATGGCTGAAGACTCGTGGGCCCGGGACGTAGGAATTTTGTTGCGAGCTGTCACAAAAAGAATGCGCCCTAATTAAACAGCAACTATACCCCCTTATATTTCCGTTGACACGCGCTTATCAACCCATGACAATCTTCTCCGGGATCAAGCGGGGCCTTCTGTACTTGACTTTTCGTGTAGAAGACAGTAAGCAAACACATGCTTCTTGACAGTATACGTTTCTCTTCTCCTCTTCTCCAATTTTGTTTCTTTCTTCTCTTCCTCAAGTTTCAGACTTCTCCCATGACCCGTCCCTTCCGACCCGTCCACGCCGGCTCATCACTGACGCTCAAGAGGTCAGGTGGGTGTTGAAATGTCCAAAGCCCTGCGTGACGTGACTACCAAAGCGATTCCTCAAGGAGTCAGAACAGACCTCTCGATCCGGATGGGGGAAGTGGGAGTGAGGGAATTACAGTAGCCGCTAGCTAGCAGGTCGATACGTCCATGAAATCTTGACTAATATGCGGCAGATGGATCAAATGCGTATCACCCCCACCGCCATGATTGTTCATATTAGAGGGGATATTGGCGTTTTCATGGACAGGCGTCTAAACTAGATTGTCTTTTGCGGTGGCCACGGATGCACTGCCAACCTACTCAAATGTGGGTGCTCTTAACACGTAATTATCTTCAAGTATATGGAAATCTGTATACCGCAGCAATTGCAATTATCTCAGAGTCTCAGGGCATGAGCTACTCGACCGGGCGGTGTGTTATTATTCTCAGTTTCGACCAAGTAAGACATGAACGCTGGCAACAAGTGCCTATTCCTCGTGTAAGCTGCCAGTGTTAAGCGACGCCTAATTACGTATGAAGAAGGAAATTCTCAATTTCGGGAATTGGATGGCACGTTCAGCTGTTGCTTGTCTAGAAACCTTCCCTACTTGTGCAAGCGTGGCCGAGTTGTAAGCCCGGAATCATGCACGAAACGAGAAGCCGTTTTCCGAGTCAAGTGATGGTCGAGCTAGGGTAAGTAACGTGGTTAATAATATGCTGCAGCCCACTAAACCGATCTGGATTCCCATCCCGGGGGGGGGGGGGGGGGGGAGGGGAGGGGTC